GTTCTCAACATCATCTAGCCATCTCATCCTGGGTCTTCCTTTCCTTCTTTTGGAATATAGCCTTCCTTTTAACATTCTCTTTGGCACTGCATTGTCTTCCATTCTTTCTCTGTGACTTGACAAATCTTACTATATCTTCTCCTTTCAGTAATGTGGTTTCTCTTCGTTGTGTCTTATCCTCCGTATATTATTTTATTCTGAATATATTCTGTATACTGAATACAAATCAAAACGCTAGGCGTAGAAAAACCTCTTCGATAACACTGGTGCAGATTATCAAGAATGAGTAACTGGAAAGGAGCTTTTGTAAAGCAGTATATATATTTGCTCTTAAATATACATTTACGATATAGTTATATGTTCTTCATTTTGAAAAGCGTGAAACATGAACGTTACTAAAGATTGATAAACCCGAAGCTAGCAGATGTAATTTATCTTGTTCAATTCGAACCAGCTCTGTCGGGCAATATCAGCTGCAACAACTAATGACGACAGAAGTAATTTAGAAAGTCAAATGACGTAATGAGAACTTCATGAGTTTTTGTGTATGACACAGCAGCTGAAGAAAGGCTTAACTTAGAACTCATCCAAACCCGCCTTCCCCCGCAGACTTATGTCTCGAATCGAGCGGCAGGGACGGAGAACTTGGCGGGACGGGCTTACGCCTACTGCGCGCAGAAACGCGTTAATGAAATTTCTTGAGAAGAAATGGCACCATGTTCCCCGACCGACGCCTCAGAGGTACTCGCGCCAAGGAATTTCTCAATTCCTGTTCGGTTTTTCCCGAACTTCACACTTTGCTCAGTATCATACACAATATCTAGAGTTACATGGGAAAACCTTTTTTTATTCTTCATATATGAACCATATAGTGAGAATTTTGATCGTGGAATATACTGACAACCTTTTTAGTAAAAGAATATACTATAGTGTTTGGGTTCACTTGAGGTAAAATGAAGTTATCAATAAAATCCGTACCTTACGCGCCTCTCTCAATTTCTCAGCATGAACAACTTTCTATTTTAGTAATGTATTCATATATACAACCAGAGGTTAATATGCGCTGGCCCAGTTTATTGGTCATATGATAATTTTTTTCATCAGCCACCTCCCTCAAAGCGAAACCGCATCTATCTACGCCCATGAAATTGCACCCTACCAGCTACTTGTCGAAACTAAGCCAACTCCACTGAGAAACCATCAGTCTCTAAGCTACCCAAGAACTTACCAAAATTGTATTGATTCCGAAGGTACATTTCCGTGTCCATAAGATCCCGCCACTGGTCACTATCCTGAGCCAGAAGAATCCAGTACAGGCCACCCAATCCTACTTCTGTAACCTCACACATAGATCTAGGTCTTCCTTCTGGCTTTCCTACAAACACCTGTGCACATTTCCCTTTCCTTTGAGTGCTACATGCAATGACCATCTCATCATTGACTTGGTCATTCCATAAAACGATAAAGTTGCCCTGTGCTTAATTAATTAAGCACTAAGCCATGACGATATGTGGAGGGGTACAGTTGTAGCTCCACCATTCTTGACCTCAGCACTAACATACAAAATAAGGTACTGGACAGAGAGAAAAAAAAAACAAGGAATCCTCAACAGGACTCAAACAGACAAAAAGACTTATATCAGGACCCTCTGCTAAAAGAACGAGGGTGCTGTTTAAACTAAACAGAGATCAATTAAGATGGGTGGTAGGGTTACCTACTGGACACTGCCACCTAAAAGGACACATTTTCAAACTGGGACTGACAGATGACCTAACTTGTGAAAGGTGCCTACAAGAGGACGAATCAGACTCACACAACCTATGTGAGAGTGAGGTCATAACTTATTTAAGATTTCGCCACCTGGGTTAGTTCATAATGGAACCAAGTGACTATTATGACGCTCCCATAAATAAAGTCCTACATTTCATTCGAAGTGTAGGATTAATAAAGGGTTAATCCAAAGGGGAAGCACAATACATCAGTGAAGGTCCAGTGATTGAGACTAGTTCTTTCTAACGGGCCCAACTGAGTAGGCCTATCCTGCCTCATCTACCTGACAAAGGAGACAGATTCAGTCTCCGAAACGTTGTGTTTTTTGTCTTATATATATCAGACGATGGATAGAGTCCAAAAATTAGCCCAGTAGTTCTGTACAGCATACACCATCGTCAGAATCGTTTCAAGTTTGTCTCTGTGACAGTTTATCTCACATGTACAGAGTAATTCATAAGGTTCTCCGGGTTTTCCGAAATCAGCAGTTCTCTGTATTACTCTGTATATCGAGAGCCAGTGCGGAGAGTGAAAATTTGGAGCAATAAAGTTTTTAAAATAACTGTTTGCGATTTTTCTCCTAGTGTTCATTTAATATAGACACAAATGTTGGGGTTCAGAGCTACCACATTAGTGACGCCACACGGAATAATGAGAGATTTCTTCTCCTGTTCATTGCGTTTGGTGAAGTATTTACTAATTCGGAAATACTACAAGATTCAAATAGACGTGTGAGTTGTAAATCGTAATAAGCCATACGTTCATGTTCAGTACCAGTTCTCTGTAAGATAAACAGTTCTCGAGAAGACCAATGGGACGGATTTCGGCTTCACATAACGCATAATATGGACAGATATCAACTAAAATTAAAGAAAACAGGAAGATTTCAATGTAGAATTTCATTGAAACCCGGAGTTTAAGTTTAAGAAGAACAGATATAAACACAAAATTATTCATAATATTATATTTCAGCATCTTGTTGCACTGTTGTATCACGCGTTCACTGATTTCCGTCTCGGTCTTACAAGGCAGAAACATGCTGCAATTGAAAGTGATTGTAAAGGCATTTTAAAATAAAGGAGAGATTGTGAACGGGTTTGGGCTGCATTAGAGACGGAAATGAGTGAACGAGTGATACCAAATTATTCGATGAATTATTGAAATTATGAGCACACTGTATGCGTGCCTCGTATATAGCATAAATATAAGTTAAAACTACAGAACATGACATGCATCAAAATGTCAGGCTAACCGAATGCATTTGTTTAAGGTAAATAATACTGTGGCATATAGCCCCTTTGTTAGGCAAAGACTGCGAAACGAGACAACAGCCGTTGATAAGCAGCGGACCTCGTGAAACAATGAATGTACAGTTGGAAGCGGTGTTTTCTATGTGGTTCATTCTGAGGCTATATGACTCGACCGACCGAGTTCAGTTAGTGCTGTGTAGTGCACTGGAGTGGAGTGTGTTTCCTGGTGAGCGAATGAGTGAGTGAGTGAGTGAGTGAGAGAGTGTGTGTGTGTGTGTGTGTGAGTGAGTGAGTGAGTGAGTGAGTGAGTGAGTGAGTGAGTGAGTGAGTGATTGAGTGATTGAGTGAGTGAGTGAGTGAGTGAGCGGGCTGCTGTGTTTCAATCCTTGTGAGCTGTTGCTGTTAGAAGCTGAACTGTTGAGTGTGTGAATTAGCGATAGCTTTAGAGTAACTTGTGCGTAGTTACGATCCGTAGGTGTCCATTAAATCCAATTACAAATCCAAACCCCGTCTATGGTTACTCAGACTCGTAACAAAACCGTAACCAGTCGTGTTTCTACTGCAGAAGCAACCCACATTTCACTCGAAATTGATCCCAGATTCCTACACGCTTCAATGTTGAGCAGGCCGAGTTGGAGAAGCATTTACTCCGTTCTCTTGTAGCAACTTAAAAGTTGTTACGTTCCCCCGCAGCCGGTTTGTACGGCCTGTGCTTGTTAGTCAGGAAGGGGCCCGAAAGAGAACGGATGAGTTGATGGCCACTTCTTGAATCTCGGAAATGTTCCCTTCTTGTTTGTCTGCCCTCCATCTCCACACATTCCACTTCCTCTAAGAGGAATTTCCTCCTTTCCTTCCGCGCTTTCTTTCCATTTCAGGGCTTTATTCCCCACTTCACATCCAACTACCTTAAGGCTTAAAGAAGTATTTTGAACAGACAACTAAGTATTTAATGTTACGGCCATTGTTACTATATATGCGTGTGTCTATATATATGTATATGCGGTGAATATGCCTTTATACAATATAATCAACCTAGACGTTGTGCAAAATCCTGGTATTTGATTATCATATGAATCTAGTAACCTATCTCTAAGTGAAATTGAAACTGGAAGCCTCAATGCAATAAAAATGCCAAGAAAATTAAAGGTCCATTTCCCGTATAGGCCTAGGTATCACGTTCATATCCCACAGTTGTTTTGTCTACAATATATGTTCCTCTCAAATTCAAACAGTGCTTCGCTATTATGTGTCACGTATTTGCAATCTCGATCTAAAAGAAATTATTAATTTACAATTTACGCGATTTTAATTTCGAAACATTCTTAATTTAAAATCGTGTTAATTATACTGTATACACGACTTTACATAAGCAAACACAGTGATTAACAAAAGAAAAGCAACAATTTTTGTTCATGATTATGAGGAGGGAATATGCAATTAAAAGGAAGTTATGAACGACACAAGGGAAGGGATAAGGTAAAAAGAAAAAACAAAGGTGACTTCAGTTATAATCTCGTCTACGGTTTTGCCAGAAGAAATTGAAAGCCACAGAATTTCCAGCAACAATAGTAACTTTTCGGCCGGAACTTGACAAGAGAACTTCCGGAATCGATACAAATAGATGTCCTGTCACTGCGTAACTCTTTCAGTTACGAAGACTCGAATGAGCATTGAGGATATAAACCTACCTGAGCGTAGTGTGTATGAGGAAACATCAATGAACGCTTACATACGAGTCAATGAAGCCAAGAACTACGTTGTTAGCTGTCATCGTAAATTCTCAGTGAGCTTTCCTTTTGCGATTGCTCATCTAAGGGGAAGAGTCTGGAATTCTTTCCGGTCTCACCAACACAATAACTTTGATACTCTATCTAGAGGATTTACTGTATTGACCACTAAAGTACTTAAGAACTTAACAGTTTAAAAGAAGCAGAGGTCAGTACAATAGAACCTTTTAAAAAGAAAGGGATGGAAACATACCGGGCATCTTATTTGTTCCATTCCACCAGACGACATTAGGAATTGGCTTTCCGCCGCCTGATTCACACGTTAGCGTAAGCTCTTCGCCTTCTATGAAAGGTCCAATTGTAGAAGCATTTCGAAGTTCACTGCCGTCATCCTTCGTGATCCTCACATATTCCGGCTTTACTGAAATCAGAAATAACACAACATTTCAAGGTCATACATTACTCACCTATGTGTACATCTTAAAACCGCACACTGCCGTCACTTCTCGCAACCGCTGCTCACCACTTCTCAGGGTTGTTGCCTATCTATCTTTATGTTTATTTATTTGTTTGCCCGCTTCGGTAGAACACTTTTGACTCTTCTCAGGGTTGTGCCACGGTAATAACTGGGGCAACGCGGAGACTGCACATTTAAAACAAGTCCACTGATACAAATAAATACTCTATTTCTGCTTAATCACAATATTGTTTATTTCAGAATCAAACTATAACTTTATCGGCGAGTAGGGAGTAATGTGCCAAAGATTAATCGAGCCAAATAAATACTGTTAAATTTAGATAAACTTGGAGAGAGCAGGTAAATGACGTCTGCCTCTGGTGAATTCTAAGTGCCAAGTCCGATACGTCTGTCTCTGATGAATTCTGAACGCCAAGTGCCTCTGCTTCTATTCTGCGGGAGCGTCACTTCATCCCCTGTATAGGATTTGGAGACGGCCTTTCTCCCCAGACAAGAATAGTTTCTAATGGCTGAATTTAACTGCCAATTCATGATACCATCAGTACAAGACAATCACATTAATAGCTTTTAGAATGAAGAGATCCAGAGATATTGAACCCCGAACCCTGCCATGTGAAAGCGCTTATTTCTTAGTTTAGGGCAGACAACAAACATATCCTTTTCATAATTGCCTCGACCCTCTAACGGTCTCCCAAGGTCCAGGTAACAAAATAAGTTGTTCCTGTCTAAATGCGAAAAGCATGTCAACTTCTTAATGGATGGGTCTCCCTAATAAATCAGTCACTCTATTGAAATGACTAACGTGGAACACAGTGTCCATTAAAGAATATTAAAAGGTTTGGAAGGTTACAATCTAAAACTATATTTTCCAAGCACGATGAATTTTAATGCAAGAGTCCAAAGAGAATATTCTGATAACAAAAGTCGTTATCAAAACATAATCCTCTTATGGATTTTTAGCTTTCCCTGTTATCCGCTAGACCGTACAGGCGTACTGTATACGATTCTAGAGCAGAAATACTCGTACTCCCCTTACGAACTGAGAGCGGAATCTTTGAAGGCCTTTCCATCGCAGTAGAAACTAAGAATTTACGTTTAACTGATGCAGTAATAAAATGGTTTCCGGTTTCAGAAACCATAAGTAACTGCATTAAAACTGAGAACGAATTAAACAAATTCAATATTTTAGTTATCCTGGTTCATTAATATAATAGTATGTTAACAACTCTCACATTATTAAAGTAATCGTATTATTATTACTTGCTCCTCATCTAAAAATTGTCCCTCTGCTAGATGTGCAGCAGCTGGTAATGTAATATGCAGGGATGTTGACATATTCAGAGCCAGGAAGTTCTCCCCAAACGATTTTTAAATATAGTATCATTGTTAGTATTATTATTTGCACGTACAATAAACAAAAATTAAACTGAATTATTATTATTATTATCCTCTCAGAAAATCTGTACTTTTCATTTCTCAATTAAATATTTATACGTTTCATTTCACAGTTCTCAATAACACTTAGATTTATGTTAATGAAATTATTATTATTATTATTATTATTATTATTATTAATATTATTTGTTTGTTTGTTTACTTGTCTGCATTATTGACTTATGTTAATGAAATTATTATTATTGTTGTTTTTGTTTATTTGTTTACTTGTCTACATTATTGTGTTTTCCTCCAGTGCTTGCCTGTCATTTGTCTTTGACTTTATCTAGTGTTTGTCCTAATGTAATTACACTAATCTACCCTGTGATCTGTCTGTAATTGGCCTTGCGGCTGTTGACTCGGCACATAAATAATAAAGAACTGAATTGAATTGAAATATTAGTGCAGTTGATAATGATTGGGATGATATGGATTGGCCTGACCTCAGGTTAGGCACCAGCGGAGAGCTCTTGTGAACATGGTAATGAATTTTCCGGTTCCACAAAACGCAGGGTAGTTCTTGAGTAGATGCACAAATGTCATCTTCTGAAGAAGGGCTCGGCAGAGTGAGTAATTAATAATGACTGTCGCTGAGGCCATAAGGAACATTCTACACGTTTAATTTATGGCCTACGTAGGTTCAGAATTTATTAAGGCTAATTAGCTTAAGGTTTTATATAAATAATTTACTAAATTAGGATTGTACTATATTTTACTTGGAGCACGCAGTAGCGTAGCTGGTAGAGGCACTGTCCTACTAGCCGGAAGGTCGCGGTTTCGAATCCTGATGAGGTAATTGAATTTATTCAATTTACTTAAACCTTCCAGCCGGACAATGGTCCTGGGGTCGAATCAGCTCCTAACAGAAATCAGTACCAGGAATCTTCCTGGGGGTAAAGGAAGGCCTGAGCGTATGGCTGACAACATTACCGCCATCTATGCGCTCGTTGCCTAGAATGTATGGGAGCCTCGACGTCTCACACCGCTTTGGGCCTTTACGATCTGTTACAGGGATACCTTTACCTATTTTAACTACTCTGTATTTGTCACTTTAGTACTCATTAATGAAAGTGTTTTATTTAAGGCAAACACGGAAAGAAGTAGTAGTAATAAGGATCCGTATGATGTATTATAGAAGTATTATTGAGCTCTTCCATAAATTATCAGTATTAATTTCGTATATGGAAATATAACTTTTTACTACTCGTATTTCAGAATTTACACGCTCGTTTTGAATGTATCTCATTTGCACATGCGTTGATCTTAAAAAACCACACGTTACATAATATTATTCAAATTATTACTTTTTAAGCTGACGAATTTATAAAATTTCCCTTTAGTGAAAATAAAACCACCACATATATATTGAATGAGATGCAGGTCCTGAGTAAGAGCACATTTAGAAGAAATGGCAAAACTTCCTGTTTCATATCTGCGAGGAAAGTAACATGCGAACAAAATTACTGAAGCAGAAAGCACAAGAAAGTTTTAGAAAAATTATGGAAAGCGAATACAGCAGCAGCATCGTAAAGGATAACGTTGAGTATAAGGAGCCAACAGGAGGCAGCTTGGCCGTACATCTGAAGCCAGTAACTGAGAACTAACGGACCATTCTTAATTCCAGAACTAGCAATTCTACATGGCCTCTTGTGTGGATCAATAAGCAAATGTAGCTCAGGGCACTACTTGCCCAGATGAAATAGCCAAAGTAACACAATTTCTCCAGCGAGAAAACAACTGGTCCGATAAACATTATTCATACATTAACATACATCAAGAGGAATCATAATATTTCACGGTCTGATGACGAGATTAAAGCAGCGCAGCTTGCTCTAAGAAGAAATTTACCCTTAAAGTCAACACGTCATTTTCCACAGACAAACACACAGTCACACACACACACAGACACCACGGACACAGACACACACACACACACACACACACACAGAAATTAATGTAAAACCTATGACAAACCATAATGTCTGCTCCATGATTCTGTTAGCAGTATGATACAGTATAGGCTCCATTAAAATACTTAAAGTTGCAGAAATATGTTTTAAGGATGTCTGTATGTGGTTTTACAAGACGGTTGTGCTGCTTAACAACAACCGCATGTACCTGAGACTATACCATTATAGCCACCAAAGTGAGCATCTGCAGAAACCAGCTCGTTAGGAAATGTACATATAATGCAATAATGCTGGCCTGTTCGCGCTGTCTTTTCTTCGAGACAGCATACAAAAGCCGCTTTTAGTTCTTCTCGAAAACTGCAAGACTTGCAGTATCTCTCTGGGGAAATGAAATATGTTTTAATTTTCTCTATACATTTTATGAGAATAATTATTGGCTTCCGTAAATATTTATCAAGTTACCCTCCAGACGCACACAGAAACGCATTCAGATCTCTGTGTAATGTCAATTGTCCTTGTTCAGTTCTAACCTAAACTGGAATGTTTCGACAAAACTCAATATGGCATTTCAGGCGGAGTTCAGTTGTTTCGAGTAGACAGGGGGATACACAGGTATGGAGAAATTATAAGATAAGGTCTTCATTTTTTTAATTTCGAAATAAAATACAATTCTGGCGAAAATTGAAATTAAATTACAGTGGAGCAGTTGCTGTATCATAATTCTGAACAACGGAAACAAAACAATGAACCCAGGTTAATAACACAAGTACAATTTACATTTTGCCCTCTTATCTTCTACGTAGAAGAATTTCTCAATTCCGAAACACGAGCAGAAGTAAACCTTACAAAAACCAGTATGCCTATAGCATACATACATGCTGCAACTGTGAAACTTTCAGACATAATTTTAATTTGCAGCATCCTGCTGCACTGCGCAGACCTGACTCTGCGTTCAGCTATTTCGTCGTCTGTGTGCAACGTCGGTTAATATTCTCTCGTCGTTTTCTCTTCACTCTCACTAAACATTTCGGCCTAACTGGCCATCATCATGTGTGCAGGTTGTTGTGATAAATTAATCTGCCCCTCTCTCTAATCCTGTTCTGCTTTTCATAAGAAACAGCATTACAGTGAGGGCAGACTCCATCACAAAAATCTGTACGCCTCATGATGGCCGGTTAGGCCGAAACATGTAATGTCAATAAAGAGAAAACGACCGAATATTATCCGACGTAGCACACAGAAGGCGAAAAAGCGGAAGGCAAAGTCAGGTTTCAGTCACTGCTAAAACAATAAATCCTTCTTTAGATACAATTACCTCTATGTCTTTCTGAACCATGGCGTTATAATTTATAAAACTTTGAACGTAGAGTTTCATTACCACGTATGCTGAGACTTCTGATAGCCATTTCTACCCGCTGTTGCAAATATTCTTATCATAAGGATTTAGACACAAATCTGGACATTAATTTGAATTAAGTTCTACAAAACAAATCTGTATGAAAATCCGATTTTGTACTAAAAGCTTCAAGTTTACGTGTGCCAACAACTTGCTGCAGCATTGAAAGACATGTTCGTAAGATGAAAACACATTGTGCCTAT